TTATGCTTATGGGAATATATAGGTACTTATATAGGACGATTTACAGCTCATGATTACTGAACTAGACCCGGAAAGCATATGAGTAGTTCATGAAATATTACGCACATAACTAAAGGAATGTGCAACAGTCTTGGCAGAAAAGAACGATTTGCGATAGATGGAGAGATGCTTGAAGTTGTATGAAAGTATACCTGCTTAGGACAGGTATTACCCACCGAGCGAAACCATGAGAGTGAAGTAACTGGAAAAATAAGGATGGGGTGCATCACACTCTGCAAGTGTTGTCAAATCATAAATCGTAATCTACCACTAACTCTCATGAGTAAGGCGTATAACAGGTGCCCATTGCTGGTACTTATCGACGAAGCATCAACCAAGAGGAGCACAAAAAAAGTTCTGCTTAAATTGAGGACGACGCAGCGAGCAAATGGAATGAATTGGCGTAACCTTAAGAGACAAGAAGAGAACAGTCTTAATCAGGGAACAAACTGAGGTTAAGGATATCATATTTAAAATTTAATAAAAAAAATAGACACGGGCCAGGCATGAGCGCGTAGGCAGGGTCACCGCTATTCATTAAGATCACCTGACTCAATTTCCAGAGAAGTCAAACGCATGAATGGGAGACAGAAAGTTAGGTCGGCCGTTGAGATTAAAAAGTTTGCAGGCATAACATGGCAGCAGAAAGCACAAGACCGGGTTGATTGGCGGATCGTGCGAGAGGCCTTTGCCCTGCAGTGGGCGTAGTCAGGCGAAAAATAAGCATCTATTGGCCACATAGAGTTAATATAAAGCTGTTCTTGACCTCTAATTTGATTTTAGTCATTACTTCTTGTAATTGCACAGGAATTAGTGGGAGTCGTTGGTTAGAATCAAAAAATCATCTTGTCCATCCTGCGAAAACAGCGACAGTAGAGAGAAAGAAAGAGTGAGAATTTATTAGAAGGCAGAGAGGTTGGCCTGTGCTATTTTGCTCTAGCTGCAGGCAATGGTGAGGATATAGTCCAGGCCATCTGTATGCCAAGCAGGTGTTCTTCCGCAGAACAATGCAACAGCTTCAAACTGTTTCGGGAAAAGACCTTATATGAATGCCATGTAGTGGAAGAATAAAGGATGAATAATGAAGAGCTTCAGCTTGGGTGAGCATTGAACTCAGGTCATTTTGTGTGCAAAGTACGTTTCCTACCACGTAGCTACGATGTTGCAAGAAATTTTATCGGAAAAAAACATACCATTTGAATGTAATGCAGTTGAAGCAGTCCACTTAAACGCATGAAATGTTGCGTGCCGAAAGCATAAATTATCGCCCGACATCAAATTTTGGGAATTTCAACGAGTGAGAGTCTTAAAGGATGACTAGTCACAAAAAAATAAATTATTTAACCATCAGCAGCAGCTGAAGAACCATGAGCAAAGTGGACAGCTGCGTGTACGTTCACGTGTTGTCTTCAGATAGAGCACTGTTATATAGGCACGGAGATCGTTGTGTGTCAGTGCGCGAACGATTATACCTTCAAGGACGTGCTGACAGTCTGATATGTTCGTCGTGTGGCTTCTGTGAGACATTCAGCACGTCGTTTTACAGGCGTTTTACAGGCGTATACAGGCGTTTTTAAATGCTCTTAATTCGTTGTACAGTAAGCACTACTCAAAAAAGAACTATGAACAGATTGGTCTTAGATGCATGACCCTTGACAATTGCTTAATGCCAGGAGGATGTGCTTCTAGGCCTGACCAAGCTCATAGACCTATTTTGCTTTTTTTATAAAGAAAAACATTGCAACAGAAGGCGACAAAAGCTCTGTTAAAATTACTACGTGACACGGACTTGAACAGGCGGCTGTAACAGCGATGTCACACACCGCGAATGACAAGACTAGACTATGACTGAGTGTGCGCGCGTGTGCTGCCGAATGTGCTTTATTTATCCCTCTTCCCTATCTGCTCTCTATCTTTCATCTTCTCCATCCAACTCCTATGCGCAGGGTAGAAACCGGCTGCCTATAGGCTGGTTAACCTCCCTGCTATTCTTTTCCTCCTATTTTCCTTCCTTTCTTTAAGAAAACGAACTTGGCGTCGTGTTTATAAATATTTTTTATGGAACTATGTTTTGCGTGTTTGTTTTTTTCCCTTTTTTACTTTCCTCTTCTCTCTCCTTCTTTCTATTCTCTTTTCCTTTATGTCTACCTTTCCGGAAGGAGCAGGCAGGCGTTGTGTTGCATTAGGTGGCTGTTGTAAGCCTGTTCCCTCCCTATTTCTTCAGTGTTCGTGTTTTCTGTGTACACAAACGAAATAATATGGACGTGCAGCGGGCCATTCGCTTATTCGCAAAAGTAATATATATTGCATATTGGGCGCCTAACAACCGTAGTTGCAGTATGTAATCTAGAATAGCTTCAAACGTTTAATACCTCTCGTTTCGTCACAGCAGGATTGACGTATGTACCAAGAACGGAAGGTATACAGGCAATAAATTGCGAAGGCACTGCACACGATGCCCGATTACACTACAGCGTTCTAGTCTTAAGTGCGAAGCTGAAGCGTCATCCAAAGTTTTATTTCGAGAAAAACATTACCAGGTCATAAAGTGATTGTGATAGTCAGCACAGGTGGTCGTGAGAACAGTGAAAAGTGGAAAAGAAAAAAATTCGGCAGATTCAACGTACTTGTAGATCCACTTTATGGGAAGCACGCGGAGGGAAGGTGACCGTGTTGCATTTTTTGGAGTGACACCTCATGAACTGACGCTAAATATATGTAAAAATACTGCACGCACAGACATATCTTGAATAGTTGCAGATGTTTATATACCAATTTTCTCCTTGCACAACGATGTCAGCTGCAAATGTGTTTTAGCAACACCAGAAGCTGATATGAAGCGCTGGTGCTCGCGAAGATGCTGGCCCTTTTGACACTGCTACTTAAATCAATTTCAGCACATGGCACGTTATCGCAATTGACGTTAACCTAATGTGACCGCTGTATGAAAGGAGTATATATGTATTGTTTATAAAATTGGGTAGGCCCACTGCAACCACTATTGATGTTTCACGAAGATTAGCGTCCATTTGAAAAATAGTTCTTATAGACCTGGCGTAGCTCTCTTGTATAATGCTTGACTGCCACGAAGAATGCTTGGGTTCGTTTGCTGCTGGGATTATGAAATTTATTATTTCCATTCGTCGGGGGCCAACGCTGCCTCTGTCAGGTTTTTTTTTTAACACTGACTTTCATTCGATGCCTCTGGTCGACGCTACCGATGTCGGGTATTGCCTAACATTCACGCGTTGAAATTGTCCATGTGTGTTTTCGTCGTTCATGGGTAGATACTAAGTGTCAATCACCCGTGGCACATACCCGCTTATCAACGGCACATACCCGCCCGATAGCACGTGCCGCTGTCTCACGAGAAGTGTTTCACGACGTACGTGACGGGATCGTGACATTAGTCATGTTTTGACTAGCGCGTTATAATAGTAAAATCATCATACCCTCCCATGCTAATTTTGGTTCACACCAAGTTAAGGGGGTGACCACGAGAGCACCCAAACGTACGCAGCTAGCTAGCTAGCTAGCCAGATTATATAGATAGATAGATAGATAGATAGATAGATAGATAGATAGATAGATAGATAGATAGATAGATAGATAGATAGATAGATAGATAGATAGATAGATAGATAGATAGATAGATAGATAGATAGATAGATAGATAGATAGATAGATAGATAGATAGATAGATAGATAGATAGATAGATAGATAGATAGATAGATAGATAGATAGATAGATAGATAGATAGATAGATAGATAGATAGATAGATAGATAGATAGATAGATAGATAGATAGATAGATAGATAGATAGATAGATAGATAGATAGATAGATAGATAGATAGATAGATAGATAGATAGATAGATAGATAGATAGATAGATAGATAGATAGATAGATAGATAGATAGATAGATAGATACGCTCAAAGTCACTGAAGATCGCTAAGAAATGCTTCGCATTTAAAAATCTCTTTACACGGAAATTTGCTGCGCCTTGAGTTGGACGTAGCGGCCCTAGCATTCTACAAGGCGCGCCAGAATCAGGCAGCAAGAAAGGAATCCGGCAATCCTTTATTGTCATCGCTAGTGCCATGGCTTCTAATATATTCAAATATATGTCCTTATTATAAGCATGTATTCTGTATTTACGAGAGACAGAAAAAAAATACGAAGGAAAGTGTTTAGAATCATGCTCGCGTTATTTTGCGACATTAAAATGCGCATGGATAGAGGTTACTATACAGCTCCACATAGATAAAAAATATAAGGTGAGCTACAGTTGATAATTGGCCTAATAACATGAAAATTGTTGATTCGAACGAGTATGGGTGGGAAAACAGATTCAACATCGGCAGAAAAACCGCGACTGAACTGGCAAAGTCTGAAGAATGGAAATACTGACAAATATATATATTTGAAAGCAACTAGCTCGGCCGATACCGGCCCAAAAGCGGCGCACTTGTGTCAGTATGACATCTTAAGTCCATTCTATGGCAGTCATTGGCAGAAGAATTCACAATTTAGCCCAGTGGCGCCGGTAGAAATTTAGGTGGCTGAACTTCGACAATATTGGCCCAAGCGGCCAGCCAAAATCAATGACTCTCCAGATATTGGCTGATTGTCCCCCACATTAGGTCACTACAGCTTTCGACTGCCACGGTAAAAGTTAACACCGCTTCGGTAATGTGTGCTGGGTATGTTACAAAGAACATACTTTTCAGAAATAATTATTTTTCTCTATGATGCTAGTCCTCCGCACAATCGCTGTAGAATATAATTACAATATGTACAATATTTCGACGAGTACTGCCCTAACTTTCAGAGCTATAATAAGCAGCGAGGTGCAAAGTAAATGTTACCGATGCAGCAATTTAACGCACTTATTGAAATTACGGGCTTTACGAGTGATCTTTAACAGTTGAAATAATAATAGATGGCTACGTTGCTGCTCACCTCACGTACATTGTCACAGTGGCTGTCAACTTTTCCTCTGCCACATCACTTCTGCGGTCCGCTGGCTTCTGACTGATTTCAAAGCCATCGGGCATCAATGGTATCCTGCTGCTAGATTGAGTGTAGCCGCCATCAAAATTGCTGGATGATCTGCTGCCTCTGTCATTACTGCCGGATCGACTTCCTCGGCTATCATTACTGCTGGCTCGACAGCTGCCATCATCATTGCTGCTTCTGGAGTCATTCGTCTTGGCTCTACGCCTGTCGCTGCCACTCCTACAGGTGGCTGGCCTTTTTCCGTTGCTGTCATTGCTACTGGCTCTGCTTCGGCCCCTGAGACTACAGTGGTCCGCTGGCTTCTGACTGATGTCAGAGCCGTCGGGCATCAATGGTGTCCTGCTGCTAGATTGAGTGTTGCCGCCATCAAAATTGTTGGATGATCTGCTGCCCCTGTCATTGATGCTGGATAGACTTCTTCGGCTGTCATTACTGCTGTCTCGACAGCTGTCATCACTGCTGCTGCTGGAGTCATTCGTCTTGGCTCTACACATGTCGCTGCCACTCTTGCTGGTGGCTGGTCTTCTGCCATTGCTGTCATTTGTACTGGCTCTGCTTCGGCCCCTGAGACTACTCTCAGTTCCATCGTTTTTGATGCCCTTATTGCCACACTTTGTGTTCGAGCGTTGACGACATTTAAGGTTGCTTGGCCAGATGCTTGTATGGCTGCTACCGTCGTCACTGCTGCTGCTGCTGCTGCTGCTGCTGCTGCTATCGATGTATGCAAAGTAAAAAGAATACAATATAGAAAACGCGAACGAAAACTCTCGATAGTGCAAACTGACAATGTCAACCCCCACAACTCTTGAACTCTCAGCCAGCAATGTCGACCCTCAGAATTTTTGAACTCGCAACCGGCAATGTCAGCTGTTACAACACTTTACAGAGTTTGGTTGCAAACGACGCTTACGACTTTCTGCCTACTCTTTCAAGAGAAACATAGTTTTCTTGTGCTAAAAAGAGATCTGTGGCATATAAGCTTTACAAAATGTACACTGTACGTGCTTTTGCTAGCGGAACAAATGTTACCTTCTAGTGAAGCAAAGTCACTCAAGCGAGTATTCCAGCAGTTGAACTAACCTTTGTAGGTGATATCTAGTCTTTTGACTAACGGATGTATGCCCTGCTAGCTGTCACTTGAAATCCTAATATGATGTACAACAATGCAAAGTCATGCCACAATCACTATTTGTCCTTACTAAAAATTTTCATAAATGAAGAAATAAAGGCATTTCAAGAAACATTAATTAACTGTTCCTTTCTTCAGATGTTTTGCGGCTTCGTAGTAAATTTAAATCATGCATGCTCAGCACTTCAAATTCAAAATGAATTAAACATGGCTCAGCTGAACAATTTTCTCAATATAAATCTTTGGAGCAAAAGGGCATGTCGGGAAGGGTGTTGACATTCCACTAACTTCAATGTCAATTTGTAGGTCTGACAGCTGGCTTCATTTTTAGGGTACAGGGCACGAGTAGTTGCATTCGGTCTATTATGGCAGTGCATACTCGTTTATAATGAAGCGTTGCTACATGACACATCGTTAAGACATTAGACGCCAACACGTTGAGGCCTCAAGGGTGTTTTGCACATAAAAGAACCTGCTCAAGCGAATGCGATTGCGCAATATCACTGTTGCAGTAGCACAACTAGCGCACTTTCGTGTAACAGATGCCGTATTGGTGCAATTGTCACCAAACCCCCTGCTCCCCACTGCAAACTTTCACCATCGGCCTTCACACTTCATCACGGACGTTGTGAAAGCGCTATTATGATTGAAAATTCAAATTCTCTACCTGTATATCAACATCCGTGGAAGTGGCACTGCAGTTTTGTATTCGTGTCATTTTCGCTCGACTCCAGCAAAAATTACTAGGCGTAAGGTCAGACAAGCGGATAATTCTTGGGCACCAGAACACTACTCTATAGTTTCTGCGCTCCGAAATATGGAACTATGAACATTTTTTTTAAAAGCTGCTTGATTGTGCGGGGCATTACGCCTACTCATAGTCAAGCAGAATTCAAGAACGTATTTGCTGAAAAACACAGCGCCCCATGTCAGTGATGCGACTCCACCCGGCACTCCGCACAAACCTCGCTGTGCACACAACGTATCAAGACAGTGCTTCAATGATAATTAAGCAAGCACTTTTGAGTCAATCCTGGGTGCCGTGGCTCTGTGAAATTCGGCAAGTTGTTTATGCATTATAAGCTGAGCCATAGGATCACAAGCAATTAAATGATAAACACAAGAATAATGACATCTTTCTTGTGTGTTCTGTTTAATTCCATACTACACTGAGACGACATTCTACTATATTCACAAGGCTCGTAGTGTCAAAACACTTCTTCTGACTAAGATATTCCACAGCTCACTGCTACCAATGTACTAATTATGGGCAGTGGATGTTTAGGATAAACGTGATATAGCTTCCGACATGGCAAAGACGTTCATTGTGGGAAGATACCATTGTGAAAGAATGTGAATGGTTTCAAAGAGGGCAGTATGGGCGTAGCCTTTGAGACAAATATTTCTGACTGATCCGCTCAGTTTACCGGATGTTCAGATGACTTTAAAACCAAGCTATACTTGCTCAAATAATTTAGTCCCAGGAGCATCAAGCAGCTTTTGTTGGATCACTGTCAAATGAAAAAAAATAGTATTAACGGGACGGCCTTAAAGAGTTCTTTTCGTAAAACTTGCGGTGTAGGCGTCGTCGCTTTTGAGCAAAAAAGGAGAGATTACATGAGCGATAAACTGCGGTAGAGCCAAGTAAAATAAACCTTCCGCTTTAATAGAAGTTGAAGCCGGGCATTGCGCAAAAAAAAAGGGGGGGGGGAAATGACTATGCCACTTCTTTAAAGTTCTTAGGAAAACAATTGTTCCGTATCTGCTTGTAATCTGCAGATGTCGTCGAAAGACGATAGTCTTGCTTGTGGAGAGAGTGAAAGAAAAAAATTATTTGATCTTCTGCACAAGAAAATCGATAAATGGTATTTTGGAGGTGCTGCATTAGGGTGACTCGAGCGTACCGCGGAGGCGAACGAGCGCATCAAGTCACGTCATACGTGAGACATGAGTGCCATCTGGCAGTTCTTTTTGGAAAACAAAGCGCGTGGCCCTGCGACGGGTGTGTTCGCCCGTCTGAGAGGTGATAAGGTGTAGAACGCAAGGCGATGGGTAGGTGCCACCGCCGTCTCTAGCAAAGCGTTGAAAACACTCCCCGTTCAGTGCAAGCGTTGCATGTTCAGCGCTGCACGATAAGTGCTACTGTCCTTTAAATTACTTATCTATCTCTTTTCTAGTAGAAGATGAACATGCACAATATATACGTGTTGTTATGGGGCCTCAGATATGCGCAACGATTGTTTTTAATTGACAAACGCACACGTATGAACGTCAATTCTTGAGCAACATTGGTGGGCGCTACGGATGAGGTCGGCCGTTCGGCGTATCGGCTGGTGCTGTTTAAATCAAGTAGCTGATTCGCGGTAACGGTGGACAAACAGACAAATGTACAGACAGACCGACCAAATTGTTTGCGTCGAAGGTCCCCGAAAAAGACCACTGTTTTTAAAAAACTACATATACGAATTTGATGTAGTTTGAAGAGCATCCTCTAACACCTACAATTTCACGCGGCATGAGCGTCGAAATTTCACCGGGCATCAAAACTGCCCACTGAGTGGGGTTTTAAAGTTCTACGGGTGACACATCACGCCGTCATAATGAATCATGATAATCAGTGATGGCACCACCAAATAAGGCCCATATGTACCGATGTTCGAGTTTTATTGCACTGCTGATGTGTAGCGGATACTTTGCGCAGTAGGAAGAGGAATGTTTGCGTAGTAGGCACTTTGCTACTCGACTTGAAGTAGGCATTATATGTAATTTCAAAGTGCTTATGTCATACGCACCGAAGTTTTGTTTCTTGAGGCACAGACTAAATGTTCACCTAAGAAGTCAAGGCATGCAGGCTAGAGATTAAGAAGCCGTTACGAACGGGGCCCTGTAGATGGCATGCACTGGCGTCACTGAAACCAAGACGTCGGTTAACCGCATGGCACACGCGAGGAATATGACGCAGAACATTATTGTTAATATGATGCTTGGATGTGCTTTGTTTTTGACAAAAAAGTTAACAAAACTCTTGTGACATCGTTACCATGATGAAGCATATGAAGTGCGATGTGACAACGCTTTTTTACGTCATCAAGGCCATCTTGTTGGTGAACTAGTACGTTATGGAGCTGGCGTTATACTCTTAAAGGCCAGTTTGAGAACTCCTCTGTGTTTTAAATGTATTGCTTTACTATACGCTAGGTAAAAACCGTGCAAGCACGTAATGAATGAGTGTAAAAGTTCAACTGGCCGACTCAAAAAAAAAAAACAGGCTAATGGGTACCAATGGCTGTTGTCGTATGTAGCGAAATAACAATACATCAAAGGCATGGCAGTACATGAGTGCACGGGTCAAAGAAAATTGGTAACTAAAGCTTCAGGTACTACTTAATGTTGATCAGCCACTGCCTTAAACAGGGGTCACAAACAAGTGGTCCCCGGGTTGCTTGCGGCTCGCGAACATCTCTAGCAGCCCGCGCCACGTTCTGGACCTTTTTCATTGAATGTATTCTTTATTTATTCAATAAGTATGTCTATATTTCAACCATGCTTGACGATCCTACCTTTTTTTTAACCATGCATTGCGGTTACCGTGTGTCGATCATCATCATCAGCCTGACTACTTTCACTGCAGGACAAAGGCCTCGCCCATGTTCCACCAGTTAACCCGGTCCTGAGCTTGCTGCTGCCAATTTATACCCCCAAACTTCCTAATCTCACCTGCCCACCTAACCTTCCGTCTTCCCCTAACTCGCTTGCCTTCTCTGGGAATCCAGTTAGTTACCCTTAATGTCCAGTGGTTATCCTGTCTACGCGCTACATGCCCGCGGTCCATGTCCATTTCCTCTTCTTGATTTCATTTATGATATCCTTAACCCCCGTTTGTTCCCTAATCCCCTCTGCTCTCTTCTTGTCTCTTGAGGTTACACCTACCATTTTTCTTTCCACTGCTCGCTGCGTCATCCTCAATTTAAGCTGAACCCTCTTTGTTAGTCTTCAGGTTTCTGTTCCGTAGCTAAGTACCGGCAAGATACAGCTGTTATATACCTTTCTCTTGAAAGACAGTGGCAATCTGCCTGTCATAATTTGAGAGTGCTTGCCAAATGTGCTCCACCACATTCTTATTCTTCTAGTTACTTCAATCTCGTGGTTCGGCTCCGCGGTTATTACCTGCCCTAAATAGACATACGTGTGTTGATAGGTGACCGTAAAACAAAACTCGGAGTTGGCATACAGCTTCAATGATTGATTGATTGATTGATATGTGGAGTTTAATGTCCCAAAACCGCCATATAAATATGAGAGACGCCGTAGTGGAGAGCTCCCAAAATTTAGACCACGTGGGGTTGTTTAACGTGCTCCCAAATG